ATATATAATATATTTGATTATGTGTTTTCTAATATATTTTAGATATGGATTTTATAACTATCTTTCTGTGTATTTATGCTAAATATTGAATCATTATAAACGATTATTTAACCATCTCTGATAATGATAAACACTATTGCAATTATCTTTAAGTAATTTAAAAATTAGCAAGTTTATAATTTTATAAATATATAATATTTACACGTTTTTTTAGTCATTCAGATTTTTATTGTTAACTGTAGCTAGCCATACTTATTTTCGAGTCCTTAATTAGCCATATTCCGATCCATGAGATCACTTGACTTTGTCGCATTGTCATTTTTATTCTAATTAATATTTTTAAGCTTGTAATGTAAGAATTGAAAATACAGAGGTTGAATAAGATGTTTACAATAATATCAGGTCAAGAATGATTTGTGAGTTTAAACTGAACTTATTACAAGGAAACTAGAAAATTATGTTATTATGTGAAAACTAGGAAACTGAAGAATGTTCAGCAGACTACTGGACTAGAATGTGGCAAGCTAAAGTTAATAGAAAGTATAGTTGATTATATTCAGAGAGATATCCTGTATAAGCAATATTTAGCGTGATTATGCAATATATTAATTCTTTAATAGAACATTGAAGAAGGTAAAAGAAAATCAATACGACGAATAATAATAAAAGGCAATAAATATGCAACAACATTGTTTTAAGAAATATTAAGTTTTATGTAATTGAATATATAAGGACTCTAGTAATTGAAATGGAATATAATTCTTATCCAAATAAAGATAAAACAAAATGATAGAGAAAAATGTTGTATTATGTCTAGTATGATCTATCAATCCATTCTCATTAATTTAGATACAAAAGTATTAAAGTAATAAATATCAGATAACAGGTAAAAATATTGAAATACAAATAAGATACAAAATATTGACTTCTTGATTGCCTTATTTTATACTTTCTATTAATTTCATACTTTTTATTATTTTCACACATAGAATAATGAGAAGATTAATTTGCCTAAAACAAGTTTATAATTACATTTAAAAAATCATACAGTTTGATTACATAGATACAATGGGGCAATCTTGAAAAAAATACAATAGATCATATTACCATAGAAAAATCATAAAATTATATATATCAGTAGAATAGTATAACATCTTCTTCTATCATTCTTCTATTTTTATTCGGAAAAGAGTTATAGCTTATTTCAGATACCAGAATCACTCTATATATCATATGTTTCAAACAAAATATAATATAATATAATATGTATAATTTCATTATATTTCTATAAAATTTTTATTAATTTTTTAAATATATAAAACATCGAAAGAGAACAATGAAAGAGAATATATCTACATGTTGACTGTATAAAATAATATTGTGACTGTTATCAGGTGTTAATAAAGTTATAATAAAATAAACAACAATCTTCTTTTCTGTGTACGTGTTAAAATATTCATATCAATAACTTTTATATCTCAACGTATGTACTATCATAGCACACTAAAATTGCTAAAATAAAAATCATGTAAAAGCTACAACAATTATAATACTCTCTCTCTACTCTATCACAGATACAACAAGATTGCAATACTAGTAATAATAAAATTCCAATTTTAAATTTTAAATTAGATAATTATCTTATATAGGACATTTCATTCATTCTTTCTTTTTTCATAATTTTTTAATCATGTGATTGATCTAAAATTTATATTTCTTTTCTTAAAAGTAAAAGTTTTTGAAAAATTTTGAACCTGATTAATAATAATGATGTGTGAACGTAGTGAATAATTTACTAAAAAACAGGTGACATTACATTATTTTTATTAAGAGAACATTGTGTATAGATAAAAAATATATATATAGAAAACAGTGATTTGATAATTTTGAAACATTCAGCAAATATATATATATAAAAATAAATAAAACAAGCAACATATATAAAATTTATAAATGCAATAATGCAACCTTTTTCTCTTTAGTCATTGATGTATCCGTAGAGTAACTCTATGATATAATTATTTCAATGTCTTTTGGTATCCAAAATTGCTAAAACAATTTATAACATTGTCATTAGCATAAAATTCTATTATAATAAAGTACCTATATATTTCACTTATATTGTTAATGTTTTTTTCTTTAGAAGTGTAAAATGACACAGATATGGATAAAGTAAAAAAATTTATTTATATCCAAACTATTTTGTATTTCTAAATTAAAAATTTTATTGTAACGTTACTACAAACAAAATTAAAAATATTAATTTAAAATATTTTAAATTTTGAATTCAAATATAATTACTATAACTGCTAAACTGATAAATTAATGAATAATATACAAGCTTTCTTTCAGAAAATGTTGCACTAAGATATATATACTAAACACATATAAATTTTGCATCAAATCATATTTAATTTTTTCCAATATAAATAAATCGCGCTTTCGACAACTAAACATTCCGAGAAGATTACAATGTGTTTGATTAGTTAAAATAGTAAAATTTGCTTCATAAAATGTATTAATTCGGAATCTAACCTCTACATTAGTGTCAGAAGGTCTTTATATAAATAAATATATGAAATTTTGTTTTGGCACATTAAAATATATTTATAGCAGTGCAATTTTCATACCGTAAAAATAGTTGTGCGTAAAAGAATGAACAGTAATTCATGACTTTAAAAAAATCTTCTTTAATTAGCACATTTTGATATAACAGCTCACGTCGGAGTTCGGAGTATCTTTGCAATCCATAGACGTAGAATTATATAGAATAGAGACCGGAAGTAGAACCAGAGAGAAAGATAAGAGTGGTCATCAGTGGTCATGTCCTAAACTATAGGGTTCTTTACTTTGATCGGGATTGGTGCATTCCAAAAACATGGCCGTTTGAGATGCGCAAGCAAATCTGTGTGATCTAATGAAGGACGTCTGCTTACAACGCTGTGAGTGGCTGTGAGCATAAGTGTAATACAAATTAACCTATTCTCACATTTATATTATTTATTTGAAGATTAAAATTAAATTTAGGTTATATTGATACTACAACATTCGATTTGAAGAAAGAAAAGATTTCTTTTTTACATGTAAATTGAAATTATCTTGTAGAATTATTATATTTGGATATATAAAGACAAAACTATTATGGAAGACAGCAATAATGCTCAAGCAGGATGGGCCGATTCTTTTAAAAGTGAAAACGTGCATTGCGAAAAATGTATAAAGGAGTTAACAAAAGAAGAATTGTTGTCGCAAGTAATAAAATGTGCTAGTTTTGCTGCGGAAAAACATCAAAATCAAAGAAGGAAGAATGTCGATCAAACACCATACATAAACCATCCTTTAGGTTCAGTTTGAATAATTTTATAGGCCTGTTTGTTTTAGCTGAACTTTCTTGCACAGTTCATCTTTCTTCTTCTTTTCATGTTAGAAAAGGTGAACTGTGCAAGAAGTTTAGCTAAACAAACAGGCCTAATGTTAACGTATATAGGATGTTCCAAAAATACAAGCTTTCTTCCATTGAGTTTCTATGTTATAGCGATAAAACTAATTTTGTTTTTTTAATTGTTATATTTTAATGTTGATGAACGATAAAAGAAGTTAAAAAGTAAATTTGATAATAATAGGTAAATAATTCAATAATATTTTTAGGTTATTATTCTTATATAGACAAAAATAATTTTTGCTGTTTTATTAAGAACATATATCTAATGTGGAAAATTATCATTATAGAAATTATCAACTTTTACTTAACGTTATGATAAGAGAAAGTTATTCCAAAACACTTTGTGTTTAGAAGAAAGTGACTTTTGGAACATCATTATGGTATATGTAACTGACTTTTACTCTTTTTTTTAGGAGTAGCAAATATTTTAATCCAAGAGGGTATGGTTTTTGAACCAGTTGTTATTCTAGCAGCAATCTTACATGATACCGTGGAAGATACTGATACTACATTTGAGGAAATTGAAAAAGAATTTGGATATAAAGTTACCCAGGTGGTTCGAGAAGTAACTGATGACAAAACATTGCCAAAAGCCAAACGTAAACAATTGCAGATAGAACATGCACCTAATATATCTCGCGAAGCAAAATTAGTAAAATTGGCTGATAAATTGTATAATTTGAGAGATCTTGAAAAAGGCATTCCCATTGGTTGGACAAGTGAAAGAGTAAAAGAATACTTTAAGGTGAGCTATTTCTATCGATGAGGACATAAGTTTTATAGAATATAAAACAAATAGCATTAATATTGCATCTCAAAAAACTTTTTTTGTTCTAGTGGGCAAAAGCTGTTGTAGATGGATGTCGTCAAACTAATCCTAATTTAGAAAGAGAATTAGATATTTTGTTTGCATCACATGGTTTGCTCTGAAGAAAATTGTAAGTAAAAGTCCTAAATCTAATAGCTGGTAAGATTCTAAATGTAACACGATACACATATAGATGAACAAATCCAAAACGCTTTACATACGGAAAATTATTGTATATAAAAACCAATACAAATGTATATTTACAAGTAACATTTTTGAATAATTTTTGCCAAGCAAATTGATTTTTGTCATTTTTCAAAGTTACTTTTCAGTCTTTTTACAATGTTTATTGTAAAACCACTTCATGTAGTTGGCCAATATTTCCGCTTCTTCTTCCGTGACTGCATTATACAAAGATGCACGTATTCCACCCACTGATCTGTAAAGAGAAATTATAGTTACTTTAATATTATTTCATAATACTATATAAAATATTATTCTATTATATTATTATTACATTAAATGTTTTGAATTTTGGAAAAATATGTTTAATGAACATATTGCTAGAATTAATTTAAATAATCAAGTAGATTGATATCTATAATACAAAGCAATAAATACATTTATCAAATAAAGATAATAGGGGGTACGAGCCGAACTAAGTTGTAGTAGTACAATTTAATGCTAAGAATTGTATTGTTTATACAATTGAATTAGATATTTTGACCTTAATTAGATCATCAAAACCTAGTTCGGCTTATAGATTCTATTACCTTTATTTGATTATTATTCCGTTAAGTCCTTGATAGAATTTTAAATAAATTTTAAATGATTTATTTTTTATTATTATATATTTTTTGTATTTATATATCTTTTGATTAAAAACTGAAATATAAATAATCAGATTAGTTTTTTATTTTTTATAATTATTGTGCACTCAACTGAATCGATAAAAACATAATTTGAGACTTTAGACTGTTGCAATTGTATTAAAAAATTTATATGGTTATAATTGCGGTTTTATTTCAATAGTTTGTTTTCTGCTGACCTGTGACCCTTTAGCTGCAGCATACCGCGAGCTGTAGCACCAGAAAGAAACTCCTTTTCTAATTCCTCGTCACCGTTTCTTATTCTGAGTGGAATATTCATTTTACTACGTGCATCTGGCTTGATCGGGCACATATAAAATCCTTTTGATCCATCAATCACATCGTATATTTTGCTGCTCTTCTTCCTCGCAAAGTTTTGCATACCTTCGACTCCACCATTTTTTTTAATCCATTCAAATACCAAACCCACCATATATATCCTAAAATATAAAATAGTCCCGACAGATTAATAGTTGTAAGAATTTCCATTACAAGAAACAAAAATATAGTATAAAAAAATTAAATGCCATGTATTGGGTCGTCCCATGCCTATAAGTAACACGGACTTTATAGATATTTTTTAAATAAAATTTAACATTTTAATTTTAATCTAAAATATATTTTAATTTTGCACAATGCTAGGTAACAGGCAATAGAAATAGGGAATAGGAACAGAATTTGCGACATGTTGGATTTTTATTCTCTATTGCCTGTACCTGACTAGTCACTAAGGCTACGGTCAACGTGACGCTACAAATGCTTCGAAACATTCCTCTTCTCTTTTTTTTGAATGAAGAACGTCACGTTGACCGTAGCCTAAAAGCGCTATATAAAATCAAATCACCGAGATTGGTCAGGTACAGGCAATGGAGAATAGAAATCCAACGCATCGGAAATTCTGTTTCTATTGCCTGTTGTCTGGCATATATTGTGCAAGAACCTTTAATTTTAAATTTTTAATTCCCCGGCTATAAAAATTTTTCGATTTTGAATTAAAGAATAAATCAAGCTCTTTTTTATATCGCATCATTTATGGAATGACCAATATATAGAGCATTATTTTTTTAATCATTTTTTTAGGAATAGTTGTAAGATGCAAAAAAAATTGTTACATAATTTTTCCAGATGTATAAACTTCTAGATATAGGAATGTAGAATGTTTCGTTAATTTTTTTAGGATCTATTTTTTATAGCCTTATAAAAAAAATACTTATAGGTATATCAAATCAATTATGTATGTTATTTATGTGTATTCTTCAGTCAGTTATTAATTATGACATCAGTGATGTAATCAATGACACTTACTGAAAGACGGGTGGAGTATTGTGCAGAGAATTATCATTCGCCATTATAGTAAAATTTAGTATCGTCGGACATATATCCATAGCACGACCGAGCATGTCATTTCGTACAATCACTAAAGTAACACCAGCTGGGCCAATGTTCTTCTGTGCACCCGCAAAAATTACTGCAAACTGAAAACATATATGTTTATAATAATTAATATATTTGAGCGAACAGTTAATCTTGTGTTACTAAAATGAAAATATGTTATCGACGATTACCAAGATGAGATTTATTAAACTCCAGCTAATCTAAGTCATAATATGAAATTTATGAAATATTTTAATTAAGTATGCTATTTGGTGCTTGAATCCGTATTATATCAATAAAATTATCAAAATCACTCTAAACTTTTATTTATTTTCTTACAGATACAGAACAGTTATGTGTGAAAATAACACTATAATGTCCACCAAATAACACCTGAATTTGTTATAATCCGCTTTAGTAACACTAGATTAAAAGTTACTACAAATATATGTATATCACTTCAACAATTCTTAATATTATTGACGGGGTGAGGTAATAAAAAGAAATCATACATGCTGATGCAAACAACAATTCATCAAACACAATTCACATCAATATGTCTTAAGATACTCATATCTTTTTATAAGCCTGTTCGTTTTAGCTGAACTTCTTTCTTTTCTTTTCACGGAGAGAAAAAGAGAAAAGATGAACTGTGTAAGAAGTTCCATTAAAATAAACAGGCTTATTGCTAGCTTGGATGCTATACCTATACCTACTTTAGACACGTCAAAAGGTTTCGTAAGTATATTCGAAGACATATCAGCAACAAGTGGTATGCCATTTGTTTCTGGGATATAATCAAATTCGATTCCTGGAAACATATTTCAAAAATATCAGTGTGATGTTAAAATAATATGACAAGAAAAAATTTCAAAGTGTTTTGTTTACCGTGCACGGTTTCATTGGCACAATAATAAACATATGATGCATTTGCATCTAAGTTCCAAGTGGAAGGATCCGGAATTTCTGTGTATTTTGTCACTTTAGGTAGCACCATGTTCACTTTTCCGTACTTAGCTGCTTCTTTTGCTGCTTTTGCAGACCATGAACCTAAACAAATTTATGCCTTTAGGCTAGAAAATATCAATGTTATGCTACTTTATTGAACATCTAGAAATTATTTCTTACCAGTTATTAAATAATCCGCAGTGCCATTCATAATATTCATAGGAATTGCCGCAAAAAGTCCGGTACCGCCTCCTTGCATGAACAGGGTTTTATAGTTGTCAGGAATATTGCTTTAAAGAATAGAAATCACTTGTAAAAATAAAAAATTTACGAGAAAAGCTTCTATATACAGACTATACAATAGTGGCCACATGTTTCCAGTCACAAAAATCTAAATGCATTAATTATTTTAAGGACAATTACTTCAACGATCATACATGATATATATAAATGATAAAGACAAATTAATAATATAACGATATCAAATTTTTTATTAAAGAAAAATATAAACAACAGGAATTAGATAGGAATCTCTTTGGAAGCGGTAAGAGAGTATGTAAAGCGTCCTGTAGGAAAAAGATATAATGCCAGATACCTAATATCTGCAGTCAAACATGGTGGTGGCAATATTATGGTGTGGAACATTTTCTCTGCTGAAGGCGTCGGTCCGTTAGTTCAAATTAATGGAAAAATGGACTCACTACTGTATCGAGAGATACTGCAAAATAATTTGCTTAATTTTGCTACAGAAAAAATGCCTATAAATTGGATTCTTCAGTATGACAATGACCCGAAACATTGTTCTAGACTTGTAAAAGACTGGAAGACTGGCTCCTCAGCAACAATGTTCAAGTTATGAAGTGGCCTGCGCAATCATCGGACTTTAATATAAATATTTTTAAGAAGAACTAAAACGTGCTGGGCCATACATTCCAACAAAACTGATTTGTATGAGTCACTGAAAATAGAATAGCATATTACTGGACTTGATAAACCGTCTTATAGAGTCTATGACTACGTTTACACGGCGATCACTTATAATCCGGTTTTATAACTACCGCACACACACACACACACACACATATATATTTATATATATATTAGAAATTGTAGTTTAAGTATCGAAAAAAGCTTTTATTTAAACAATCATTATGATCAAAAGAAGAAAAATTTTTGATCGGATAGTATACGGTAGTTATTAAACCGAATTATATAAGCCGCTGTGTAAAAGTAGTCTATGTCTCGTCGGTGTGCAGCAGATTGCTTCGAAAGGAATACCGACAAAATGAAATAAACTTCATTTTCAATATGGAAAATTTTGTTAATATGAAATTTGTTGTAATTTTTCAATTATAAATGAATAGTCCGGCAAATTACTGTGTTTACTGTAAAACCTGTTATTTATATTTTTCTCCAATAAAAAATATGATATCGTAGATATTATTAATTTGTCTTTATCATTTGCATATCTCATGTATGACTGTTGAAGTAATTGTTCTCAAAATAATTAATGCATTTAGATTTTTGTGACTGTTCGGAAACTTTTGGCCACTACTGTACATGTGTATAATCTACATATAATAGATTATATATTATATATATATATATATATATATATATATATATATATATATATATTAAAATGGATATAATCTACAGATTATAGACAAGAAGGCCAGATATAATTCATATTGCAATGATGATTATATTATTTTTATTTTGTAATATTAATAAACTCTAATGTAAAAAAATTTAGATTGAGTTTAAATTACTTGATTATCTAAAAATTTTTTTTAATTTTATTTAAAAAAATTAACTTTGATTTGAATGTTTGAGAACATTAAAATTAAGGATAAGAACTTTGTAAGTTTTACATCAAGAGTCTTGCAAAAATTTATATATATTACGTTTATCGCGTTATATATTTTATTGTAATTTATTGCAATGAATGGTATCACTTTTGAAATAAACGACTTATGTCGAGTGATTTGACTTCGATTTTTAATTGACTCACAGGATGTCTCGCAGTGTAGCCTGTGCATCGTCGATAACTTTCTTAAAGTCATTCGATCGATGGCTTAGCTCAAGGATGCTGATTTGCGTGTTTCCATATGCGAGTAATTCCTCCTGCACTTTTTTCAGAACCTATAAATGACGAAGCATTCTCGATTAATTGATATATCTGTTAGTTCAATGAATGCGACTTATTCAAATTCTGTTATCTTCTAATATAAAAATGGATTTAAAAACACAACATGATTGATCGTTTTGATAGCACAAAAAATGTGACTGAAATGCATTTATTATACGTGCTTATTGCATAAAAGTATGAAGATTATTTATTTATGATAATAATGCGCGAAGAGACGGCTGTCTATTCATTCTCATGGCTCCGAAAATCATAGGTCGACTGTAAATCGCAGAAATTATTAATATTTCTTATGGAGAGGAGACTATAAAGTTATATAAATATCTTTTGCATATACTTCTTCAAAAAAATTATTGTGATTATATGTAATATATATTACGTATGTACACATTTGAACGTATATGTTGCAAAAAAATTAATTGGTATTACATGAAAGTAAGTTTAAATAAAATAAGTATTAACAGATTAACATCAGGAACATTAATGCAAAAGCTATCTGCACATATTTACTGACAAGTCGTATCTTGAAAGAACATATCCTTTATAACTTGGCAATTGAGATCAATTAGATCAAATTACAACTTTTTTCTGCAATTACTCGCAACACTTATATATTATGTAGTAACAATATTAATCATCAAGTTCTCCATACATATATTTATACTATACATATTGTTTTTTTAGTTTAGAATATTTCTTATCTTATAATAATCTTATAATAAAATCTACTAACAGAATACGATAACAAATCCACTACAAAACTGAGCATAATGTCATTTCGTAATCACTTAAATGATACATGCCATTTTAATGGTTGCGAAATGATAGATTCTTTCTCCGTTCTACTGGCAATTTGTTGTCGGAATGTCGTCGAAGGGGGGGGGGAGAAGGAAGAGCAGAAGAAGGAAACAGATACTGCTGGCAGAATTTAAGCTTAATGCGAACGTAGTTAATCTCAATCTGCGTAATATTTTGTTTTATCTGCTTGCAAATTCCTAGCTTACTGCATTTTACTTGCTGGACTAGCTTATTCGTGAAAACATATGCTAAAAGAGTTATTGCATTTTATATGCAATGGATTGTTATATAAATTTTGATTTATACAGAATATTCATGCGTTTTTTTATAGGTTAAAAAAACATCTAAATTATTAAGAAAATTAATTTGATAAAATTAGTCATTTATTTTTGGAAAATAATTTTTCTTTTAACTTGGAAATTTTTATTTGCGTAATGCGAGTTGTAAAAAAATTTTTTAACATACCTCGTGCGGTAATTTAGCAGGGCCGGCGCCGAAATTGATTACTTTATGACTTTGAGAGAGATCGGTCATTATTATAATTTGCAATTGACGTACGGCGTGGCAGACAGCGCAAAGCAGACTGAAGTGGATAAGAGACAAACAAGTGGTACCAGGCAGCAATCGTTATCGCAGTTGGTTCGTTCAATCCGTGGGAGGTCTTTTCAGATCTCTTATCTGAATTCCTCTATGTCTATGTATTTTCCTACTACAATCTTATCGAGATAAATAAAATTTCTAACGCGTGAGACATGAGGCATCTACGTTGAGCGGTTTGTTTGTTTTACTTTTAAGCAAATGTCGTACAGAGTGTTTCAAAACTATTTTTGTCCAAGATCTCATGGTCAACGTCAAGGCACGTTCCAATACGTACGTACAGTGCGTTTCAATATGTATATATGTACATAATCCTTGTGGTTTTGTATGGAATATTATACAGAGCGAAATTTGTTAAATTTATTACGAACGTAATAAAAAAAACAAATAAAGTCAAGGAGAACCGATAATCTTACTAATAAATCTTAATAGAAGTTTGTGGAGTTGAATTTTTATGAGGAAATTTTAAAATAGTGACTATAGTCATTTTATTTTTATGAGGGAATTTTAAAATAGTGACTATAATTTTAAAATTTGCTCATAAAAATTCAACTCAACACACTTCTATTAAGATTTATTAGTAAGATTATCGGTTCTCCTTGACTTTAAATGAAGTTTTTTTTATTATGTTCGTAATAAATTTAACAAATTTTGCTCTGTATAGTGTATAATATTCCATACAAAAGCTACAAGGATTATAGATTATTAAGTTAATATATTTACAAACGAACATAATTTTCAACAAAGAAGAATTACGTAGTATAAGAAATTATATAGCGAAATTATATAGGATATGCGCCTGTTGATAAAGATAAAAAAAATTAGACAATTATTTATAAGTTATTGCATGTATACCGCCTTATTTACCTAATACAAAAAATATATTTTATAAAATAAGAAAAGTATTTCTTATATATACAATACAATTATTTAAAAACATAATGTAAATAAATATAAGACTTATTCAACAATTTATCAAAAATCGCTTTGCAGATCTCTGCACTATTTTGTAACTAGCATGTAAAAGTTGCATGTTACTTATGTTTATTGGGACGTTTGGGTCACATTGCAACACACACAATATGCATGTTTATTTTCTTTTTTCATAGATATAAAATCTGTAAAACCATTAGTAATTTTTCGTGGCATCCTAAAAATTATGCCTAAACTAAATGGTATCTAGCAAACACCAAATAACATATGCAACTTATGTTATAATTATAAGGGAAAATTCACACCTTGGCAGAATAGCAGAAAAGCAGAAGCCAATCAGAATTCGCGCTGGTAGTAAGTATACTACAGTATATATATGCATGCACAGTACATTCTGCTTACTATGAACATGAATTTTGCTACAGTTGGCTTCTGCTTTTCTGCTTTCTGCTATTTTGCCAAGGTGTGAATTCCCTCTAACACTGTACATATGTGTTATATTGCATTTACACTTGCTGCGTTCAGCAGAATGTTTATTTTGAAAACTGTTGGAAGTTTTCTGAGCTCAGATTAGATTATTCTTTTAGATCTAGAGGAATAATCCAATCTGGGTTCAGAAAACTTCTAAAGGTGCCTTTTCATGCTGACGCTCGACGCTCATTTTCAGCGGC